TAATTTTAAGAGAAAATAATAGAAAACAGAATAATCTAATATTCAAAAAATATATTACACCATCTTCATTTGAGCATTTTATTTAAATGTATAATTTCTTCGCTTATTTTGGTTCCCTTTGTATTATTCGTATTATCTAATTCTTTCATTTTATTATTATTATTATTATTATTCATTCATTCATTATTCATTATTATTCATTATTATTCATTATTATTCATTATTAACATTTTTAAGTATTGTTAAATAAAATTATTTAAGTAATATGATAATGATTATGATTATCATTTTTTTCATCTCTTTAAATATCATTAATCAGTATTATTAATACATTTTATTTATTTGAATTTGATAATTTAGATTATTTATTTATATTTGAATATTATTTCTTTCTCATTTTTATTCTTCATTAAATTAGTTTGTTTCTATATTCTTATATTTTATTTCTTTTATTAATTTTATTAAATTAATCATTTCATTCAACATCATTTTATATCATTCTTATTTATTTATACTTCTATTCTACTAATTCTTCATATATCAATTATATTGAATTTAGATTCTTAATTATTGAATATCTTTTATTTCTATTCGATATTGTTATTGAAAATGATTTAATTAATTAAAATGAAAATAAATTACCATGTTATTGTTTTTAATTTTAATTTATTCTTTTCTTCTTTAATAATTTATTCTTTTCTTTTTTATGACATATTGTAATTGTATAAAGAGTATTTTTAATGTTATGACATTTCCTGAAATGTTCATATCAATGAATATTTATTTTTACTCATCAATATATTCTCATTGATCAAATCAATTCATTCTTTGTTTTATTATTTTAAAATATTCATGTTATTCTTCTTAATTCAAAAACTATTTGTTCATAAATATTTTCAGTTAGAGAAATTCCATTAGTTGTTAATCAAATATCACTTCAAAAAAAAAAAACATTTACAATTGCACACACTTCAATGTGAATTTCAATTAATTACATTTTGTATTGTTGTTTTATTATATTTATTTATTTCATTCTTTATAACATTAATAAGATTATTATAATTGTTTGGAAATACTTTTGACACAAAGAATAACAGTACATAACTCAATTTTTGAGTGTTTGTTTTATAGATAATTGAATAAAATCAATAATTTGTTGAATTATACTACTAAATAACAATATAATATCTTCATGATTTATATCAATTATATATTATTACAATTAAATTTTGAAATAATATGTATATGATGTTAAGTATTTTCAATATCATAATAAAGAATGATGAAATTATTTATTTTTCAATGAAGAATGAAAGAGAAAATAATAAATTAATTAAAATATAATGATAATAGAATAATAAGATATAATAATAGAAAGAGAAATGATCAAAAGAAAGAATATTAGAAATAAATAAACACAATAAACATAATAATGATGTAATAAAGAATATAAATAAAAAGAATATAAATAATAAATAAATAAGAGAGAATATAAATGATGATAGAGTTAGTAATTGATAATAATATGAAATAAATAATAGTTATCTTTTTATATAAAAATAAAATTATTTCATTTTATGAATTATTGAAAAATCATACAAAATTAATATTTTATACTTATGAAAACATAAATTATAACATAAATATGAACATTTCATTTATTAATTCATAAATTTTGATTGTTCAATTTTATGAATACTTAAAAATTAATAAATCATTATAAATACTCAACATATATCATGGATTTTATCATATTCATTTTTTATCATTTATATAATAATTCTATTTATTCTTTACCATTTTTTCTTATTATCAAAACATTAATTGAATTAACTACTAAAGAGATTATGATTAATAAGAATATAAATAAATTAAATGATAAGATGATGATAAAAAGATGAAAGAAATAAAATATAAAAATGATAGTATCTTTATAATGAA